TAATAATAATAATAATAATAATAATAATAATAATAATAATAATAATGATGATGATGATGATGATGATGATGATGATGATGATGATGATGATGATGATGATGATGATGATATATGAATCAAAGATGTTATTTTGTGAAGAAATGTCAATTTAGCTGTTTAAGAATAGAGAGTGGTTGTCGTATGAGACAGCTATCTTGAAGGTGAAATCGTCAAAGAGCGATAAACAAGCGAGGTAAACAATAACCCAGGGAAGAGGAAGCGACTGGTGGTATTTTCAGAGGCGGAATGACTGAACATACCTGGCCCCAGATGTTGCACCTTAGAGAGAAAGGAGAAAAATGGCTGAACAGCATCTGTAATAATGGCCACAATCCTATGGGAGGAAACTGTTGGCAGGCTTTTGAATTCCTGGTAAAATTCCTTTTCGTTACGCAGTAGACGTTTAGAGAGCCACGGAGGAGAATAGCTATAAGCTTCCCTGATAGCCCACCCCTTTCTCATTAATTGGCAGAGACGTTTAGACAGCCACGGAGGAGAATAGCTATAAGCTCCCCAGATAGCCCACCCCTTTCTCATTAATTGGCACTTGAAGTCTCAATAACTCTCTCCCAGGCATTCGTAGGAGAAAGAATAGAAATCATTTATTTACGTACAGTTGCTTGACATTACCAATTTTTGTATGCAGCTTTCTTTACGGCCCTCATACTTAGCAACCAGTATGTTGTCTGTACCAGATAACTTGGCTTTTTGCTCTAAAACAAACCAGGAATCAAAAACCAACAAACCAACAAACCCCCAAAGTAGCTTGTGATTCTGGTTTGTGAAAGGAGCACAAACCAGGATAAGATGCAGGGAACTGGACTAGATGACCTTCAAGAAGCCATTGAAATATGTCTCCTGTGTCTTCCATTCCTCTCCGAGCTCTCTCAGACACACAGAGGTTTTTCAAATGGAATTTCGCACTAAAGGGAATGATCCTTTTCCTCTGCAACATTAAAGAGGGCAGAATCCACTGGTAATAAGTGCGAGAGGGCAAGTAATAATAGCAAACTGCTGCTAACTGAAAAGTTGTTGCTTGTATCCCCAGTCATACACCAGCCCATGTGACTGGCACCCTACAGGGCATGCGAGCAATAACTTATTAACTACAATAACTTGTTGGACTAAGACAAGTTCAGTTTTTTTGGACTACAGGTCCCAGAATCCCCGAGACAGCTGTGTCCATGCTGGATGGGAGGTTCTTGTAACTTCCACGCTCTGACTTTGTTTTATATATTCCATCAGCATCATCTGCTGATAACCATATTTTCTGCCTCTTTCCCCACCCTCTCCCACTCACTAGCTGCCCTCCAGAGCCACCGCCGCTCACTGCTGACTCGCACTGAGAAACTTTGCACCAATGTAGATGACACCGAGTCGTGTGGGCACATCGAGATCCGCTATACTGACCTGCTGCTGTCTGACAACCCTTGCTCCGTCTCTGCTAGCCATGACTACTTGGGCCTGGCTTCTCGCCGTGCGCGTCTTTACTCCTTCCACGGTCCTCGCCGTCTGGCTCTCTCTCAGCTGGTCTCCCCACTTCCGGAGGGGAGCTCCCCACCTCTCCGTGTGATGCTGAGCGGTGCCGCTGGCATCGGAAAGAGTGTGGCAGCTCAGAAGATCCTCCACGATTGGGCTCTGGGGGCAGCCTTCCAAAGTTGCCTTTGCGTCTTGGACTTCTCCTTCCGAGAGCTCAGCCTTGTCACAACGCCCCTCAGTCTTGAAGATCTGATCCGCAACAAGCACGCCCACTTGAGCGGAGTCCTTCCTGAGCTCCTTGATCGGCCCGGGGAGCTCCTGCTGATTTTGGATGGCCTGGACGAGTTTAGGCATTCACTAGAGAGCAAGAATTCCTGTGTCCGTTCAGACCAACCAGCTCACATCAAAGATCTGGTGTACGGGCTTCTCTATAGGACACTGCTGCCTGAGTCCACCATTGTGGTCACATCCAGACCTTCTGCAAGCCTTCCAGAAGATCTCTTTGACCGCCATGTCGTCATTCTCGGCTTCCAAGAAGACCACGCGAAGGAATATTTCTTCCGTTTTTTCAGAGATCCCAAGCGGGCCTCGGCTGTGTTTGGTTACATCTCCGCCCATGACAACTTAGCCAGCCTCATTTTCATTCCCCTCTACTGCTTCATTCTTTGTACCGCTTTGGGGGAGTTTTTCTCATGTGTTGGGGTGAAGGAAGCCTCTCCCCCCAGCACCATTACTGAGGTCTACCGTCAGTATCTCTGCACCATCCTTCGGTTGCGCAAGCCACCATCTGGAAGACCAAATGATGCTTTGGGAAGCACCAAAGACTTGGTCCTTCAGCTGGGCAAGTTTGCTTATGCAGCCACTTTGAGAAACCAAGCCATTTTTTATGGAGATGAGTTACAAAGTTTTGGGTTTGACCCAAAGAACCTGCCTGGTACTTTCTTGAACCGCATCTTCTTCAAGGAGGATCAAGTCTACGGGTTCTTCCACTTGACCATACAGGAGTTCTTAGCTGCTTTGTATGCTGTGATCATCTTGGAGCCCAGTGCTCAGGAGCTAACGATGTGCCTGGATCTCTGGTGGGAAGGCAGTGCTGATGAAGATGGAGGGGCAGACAGACACTTGTCTCTACCCGTTGGATCCACTGATGGACTTTTAGGTTACACTAGGGAGTTCTTGAGTGGACCCCAACAGTGGGACCACTTGCAAATGTTCTCCAGGTTCTTTATGGGCCTCTTGACCTCCAGGTTAGAGGGCAGGCTGAAAGAGTTGGCTGGGGGCCTGACGGGGGATCCTCTTATTCCCCTGGGTGACTGGCTGGGGAGGAAGGTCCAGTACGAATCGGATCGGAAGCTGCTGTCTTTGCTGCATTGCCTGGCGGAGCTCCGCCAGGATGCCGTGACTCAGAGGGCAGCTGCCAAGTTGGATGAAGTGGATTTGTTCAAGGTGACCTTGAACCCAGCAGACTGCGCAGCTCTGGCATATGTTTTAGGATGCTCAGAGAAGAAGATACTCCGGAACTTCAACATCAGCTACAGCAATTTGGGCATCAGGGGATTGAGGCGACTACAGGGGCTCCTCCATCGGTGTGAAACATTGCAGTACGTATCTGCCAATGGTGTCTGAAGCCCATCCAGACTAGTAGGGTATGCTGGCAATGGGAAGAATACCAGCATCAACAGAATAGGATATCTCACAACGCTTGCGTCTCCCCCTTCCTCCTTTGCACTGACACTGTGTAACCCCCATGCCAAAGTTGTGAGATCCAACACTGAAGCAGGAGACAGAATTTTAATATGCAATTTGATCCCCAGTAATTGCCAGACAGATAGGAACCAGTTGTGCCTCTAATTTTGGATCAGATGGATGAAAATCTTCCAGTATACAAAGTTCAGGCAAACCCTAGAGAAAGAGATATGTTATGACCATGTGGATTTATTTCTGCATTTGAAGAAGAGGCGTAAAGCGTCCAGATGTTCGTATCAGCCACAGAACTTTAAAGCATTGCAACTGCACTACAGTTAATATGAATTTGAAGTTGAGAATCATCCTTTATGTTGGTTCAGTAGGTTCCCCACAAAATCATGTTTGTTTCTCTGCTGAAGGCAAGAGGTGGATGATTGTCCAGCACCCTTTCTAGCCACAAGGGAGTAGCCGTGGAGAGAGGATGCTTTAGTTTTCTTAACAGATCATATTCCTGGGTCAGGTTTAGCCGCATATGCAGAGGTCGCTCCAGGACAAGGGTGTTCAATGCCTTGTTTTGCAAGAGAGGTGGGATTTAGGGCTGATCTGCTTTGTGCTCCAGATGTGCTTCACTTTCAAACCACTTTATAACTTCATGGCTTTCCCTAGTGAGAATTCCGGAGGCCACGACTTAGGTGAGAGCCATCGTAGGGTGGCGGAGAGTGTCTTAATTAGGTCTTGATGCTTTGTAACAAATTGCACACAAACAATGTTTTTCAAAGGTGCCCCTCTGAGCTCTGATTCTGAACGAGTGTCTTAATTTACAGGCTGCGATACAATTCTCTGGATCAAGAGGCAGCAGCGATAGAAGCGGGAATACTGAGGTCCCCCCAGTGCTGGGTGAAACGTCTACTGTGAGTGATGCTTGCCTCTTGTCCTTCTTCCTTCTTTTTTTGTCTCCTGCAGCCCACAATAGATGTGCTAGGTTTGCTCCACATTACACAGAATCGTAGAATGATTGGGTTGGAAGAGGCCTCTAAAACCATCAGGTCCAAGCCCCTGTTCAATACATCTGACAGAGGGTGGTCCAATTTTCTCTTGATTTCCTCCAGTGTTGGAGCACTGCTTCCCACCTCCCGAGGTCGTTGGTTCCGTTGTCATACTGCTCTAACAGTTAAGAAGCTTTTCCTGATAACTCTGGATGCAGTTCATCTAGCCCTAGGGATTCAAACTCATTTAAAGTACAGTGGTGCCTTGCTTCACAAGCGCACCATTTAACTACGTATCCGTATAACGACGCGTTTTTGCGATCGCATTGCGATGTTTAAATAGGGTAAACATCACATTGCGATGATCGGTAAGCGTTTCGCTTACCGATCTTCGCATTGCGATGTTTTAGAACAGCTGATCAGCCGGCTCAAGAAAATGGCCGCCTGCAGCGTTTTCGCACCGATTCCTCGCTTACCGAGGCGGCGAAAATGGAGGATTCCCGCTTAGCGGTGAGTTTATTCCCCCATAGGAACACATTAAACGGAGTTTAATGCATTCCTATGGGGGTTTTTGCCCCGTATAGCGACGTTTCCGGATAGCGACGATTTATTCGGAACAGATTATTGTCGCTATGCGGGGCACCACTGTAATAAAGTACTCAATGTATTCTCAAAGGCTTTCACAGCTGGGATCTGATGGTTGTTGTGGGTTTTTCAGGCTCTTTGGCCGTGTTCTGAAGGTTGTTCTTCCTGACGTTTCGCTTGTTTATCAATCTTTTATCCTTGCATTTGGGCTTCAGTGAGTGTCATATAAGGTCCCCTTCCCAGGTTGCCTTTAGTGGAGTGGGAGTGTCTGCAAGGTGACTGTGCACCTCTCTGAACCTCAAAGATGAGAACTATCTCAGAAAACAAAGTACGTAGCAATCTTAATTTCACTTCCTGGTTGGCCCCAGTTCATAGTGGTGCAGTGTGGGGCTTCTTGATAATCACAGCAGTTTTAAAAATCATTTTTCTAGAAATCTCTTCTGTCCAAAGAAAACCTTGGGAAAAGCTTGTATCCTTTCAGAATCATTCACAGAGGATTTTTTTTAAAAAAAGCTTTGTACTGGGCTTGTGTTCTAAATCTTGTTGTTTTTAATTTTGCATCTCATGAAAAACTTCGGACCAAGGTACTCTGATCATGCAATGAACTTCCACCCTCTTCTGATCCATTAATCAGAAAAATACAAAAATACACCTGGACCTAGTCTCTACTCTGGCACTATTTTTAATTGACCTTGCACTTTAAGAAACATGGCGAAGGCTTCCAACAGGGAAGACACTATAGTGCTAAACCTCATCCCCATAAACAAGTGGGGGCAAAAATAGCCATCTCTCACTAGAGGAGCAAAGGAGCATGGGAAGTCCAGGGTTTTTCACCCCTTTGTCATGGCTGGAACTGAGACAAGACTTGACGTCATGTGGAAGGGGAGGAAAAAACTGTTATCATCTGCACACACACCTGGGTGGAATCCTGGGGTGTGAATGATGACTGATGGTTGAGGGTAAGTGTGGCAAAATGAGTCAGGAGTAGAGATGGCAGTATTTGTATATGTATATGAATATCCCCACACAGGTGGAGATAACGGGGATCCGGCCCCTTCACTGATTTGCTCCTGCTAGATTCCTATCGTTCCTTTGCTCGCGATCAGATGGAGCGATAGGAGCGATAGAACACTAGCGCGGAGCCCGCACCAGCAGCGGATCAGTGAGCGAATCGTCCAGCACCATGGGGCCAGACCCTCATTATCTCCATCTCTAGTCAAGAGAGGAGACGCTAGCGCGGAGCCCGTGCCAGCAGCGGATCAGTGAGTGAATTGTCCAGAACCATAGGGCCAGACCCTCGTTATCTCCATCTCTAGTCAAGAGAGGAACAATGGAATGGCTTAATAGGAATAGCTTTGGGGTGGAATATATGGTTGTTGGGTTGCATCTCTTGTGATGATAATGAAGATGATGATTTTGATTTCATAGTGCAAACGGGCTAATTATTCCTAAGCCTTGTATGTTAATACACACACAGTATTGCAAATATCTTTTATCAGTTTGACGTAATATTTCAGTTCAGTTTCTTAAGGTTTTTTTCTTTATCCTCCCCTCTGCAGGTTTTGTGGTGACAGGAAGGCCTGCCGTGCTCTGGTTCATGGGGTCACGAAGAGTCGGACACGACTAAACGACTAAACGACGACGATATGGTTGTCAGGTTTCATCTCTTGTGATGATAATGAAGATGATGATTTTGATTTCATAGTGCAAACGGGCTAATTATTCCTAAGCCTTGTATGTTAATACACGCACAGTATTGCAAATATCTTTTATCAGTTTGACGTAATATTTCAGTTCAGTTTCTTAAGGTTTTTTTCTTTATCCTCCCCTCTGCAGGTTTTGTGGGAACTGCTTAGGCTCTGATGGGGTGAGGAGTTTATGGGATGCACTCCAGCATAACGCCACTCTGGAAGAGCTCTACCTAGATATTACTGGCATCACAGACAGTGGCCTGGATAATATCCTAGATTCGCTGACCAGCAACACCACGCTCCGGCTTTTGACGTGAGTTCTCTCCGCTGTCATTTCACTTGGACAGGACGGCAAATCCTGGCAGAGTAGAATTACTACATTCTATAATCCAGAGCCTCAGAGATATAGCCTTTTTTTTTACAGTCCAGCACAAACATAGAATGCAAATTAGGTGCAATTAGGTGATAATTAGGGATGTGGTGGCGCTGTGGGTTAAACCACAGAAGCCTCTGTGCTGCAAGGTCAGAAGACCAGCAGTCGTAAGATTGAATCCACGCAACGGAGGGAGCTCCCATCGCTTGTCCCAGCTCCTGCCAACCTAGCTGTTTGAAAGCATGTAAAAATGCGAGTAGAGAAACAGGTACCACCTCGGTGTGAAGGCAACAGTGTTCCGTGTCTAGTTGTGCTGGCCACGTGACTATGGAGGATTGTCTGCAGACAAAACGCTGGCTCTATGGCTTGGAAACGGGGATGAGCACCGCCCCCTAGAGTCGAACATGACTGCAGTAAATGTCAAGGGGAACCTTTATCTTTAGGTGATAACAATTTCATTCTGAATCAGCTTTGATCTATTCTGATCTCTTTGCCCATTGGACCACAACTCCCAGAAGTCTTTGCTATGAGTAGTGCTGTGTAGGACTGATGGGAGCTGCAGTCCAAAATAGATGGCCATACTTTGTGCCACCCTGATATATATATTACTATGGGCAACCAGCAGATGTCAGAATCCCACCAATGAACAGGCAGTAGATTCACATCTCAGCTAGAGGGCAGTAGAGGTTTGTATACCTTGTTTCCCTGAAAATAAGACCTAACCTGAAAATGAGCCCTATTCTGATTTTTCAGGATGCCCGTATTATAAGCCCTGATCCCCAAAATAAGCCCCAGTTAAGTAAAACCCTGCCCTCCACCCTTGTGCAGCAACCAGAAGATGATGACATGACTGTATTTGAATTGTTGTAGAGGAAAAAAAAATCCCCTGGAAATAAGCCCTTGAATTGTACAGGAAAAAAAAACCCTGGAAATAAGCCCTAATGCACTTTTTTGGAGCAAAAATTGACATAAGAGAGCCTGTCTTATTTTCGGGGAAACACAATACTGTGTGTTTACACTACAACAGCCAACCGTGCTGTCTGTGGAATTTTGGGAGACGTAGTCCAAGCCTACAAACCCATCTGTCGCATGGGGCCCTGGAGAAGGTAAAATTCAGCTCAGGAGAGATTCTGGTTCCCTTGTTTCCTTACAAGGCCGGCCCTCCTGTTGGTTAGGCTACACAAAGGGAAGAAACAAAGGCTAAGGCCGTGATTAGAAAAGGGAACACTATAACTTCTGGAGTATCATAACAGGAGCTTTTCTGACCTCGGTGTAATTTATAAATCTGCTTGCTTCGTTTTGTATTTCTTCTTCAGGACTTAAGCATGGGCTTTCTTTCAAATGTGATTTCTCATATGCAGAAGTCTGCCCTGATTTAGGTCACTCGAACACCTCTCTGCTTTTAGCCCCAGCAACATCTATTTCTGTTTTGAGTCAGCTACCAGGATTGTCAGGAAACAGTACGACATTAATTTCTTGGCGCTGTATTTTAATGCTGGCGAAAGAAGTTTCTCCTTCTCCCTGAGATGCATACTTATCCTTGGACACGACATGCTATGGGTTTTGGGGGAGGGCAATTTGCTGCTCTGCCACACTCAAGAAGGACTCGGGTGGGCTGGCCCTGTGTCATACAGTTCTTGGCAAATGTGGCCCCTATGAAATATTGGTTCAGCTCAAAGCAGTGTGACTAAAAAAGAACAGGGATGTGAGTAAGAGATTTGAATCAGAAGGAGTAGGAGAGCTGGAGGCTGGAGCTGCTGTCGCCACTTTGACTGCTAAGGCCCTTGCCAAATTGGTCTAGGGTTTGGAAGACTCTGCATGTGAAGCTGATTCTTCTGTCTTATGGCTACACAACCCAGTCCGGGAAGATTCCTTGGATTTTTGTCTGAATTAGAATTCAAAAGGAGCACTTGAACTTTTCAATTCTACAAGCCACTTCTGTATTGGTGCTTTTGCCGAGGACTTGGGTGAACAAACTGTAGCCTTTTGTTGTCATTATAACCTCTCATGTTGTTTGTTATGTAACTGAGAATCAGAAGAGACTCATTTTGTGAAATTGTGTTTGCGAGGTTCATTAATAGCTATCTAAGGAAACAAACAGTCCCCTCAAGGTGCTATTTTGAAAATGGTGCACGAGCTCATCACACCTGCTTCCGGGAGGTGGATTTAAAGAACTTGTGAAATCCAGTCGTGCCCTGTTTAACAATTACCCCGTATAACGACGAATCCGCTTCATGACAATGTTTTTGCGATCGCAATTGCGATTGCAAAACAATGTTTTAATGGTTTTTTCGCTTTGCGACGATTGGTTCCCTGCTTCGGGAACCAATTCTTCGCATTACGACGATCAAAACAGCTGATTATCGGGCTTTCAAAATGGCTGCCGGCTGCTCAAAATGATTCCCCGCTATTTTTAGGAGGCATTTTTCGCAAGACAGGCACCCGAAAATGGCTGCCTTATGGAGGATCTTCGCTGGACGATTAGGTATTTCACCCATTGGAATGCATTAACCGGTTTTTAATGCATTTCAATGGGTTTTTATTTCGTTTGACGACGTTTTCGCTCTACAGCGATTTCGCTGGAAAGAATTAATGTCGTCAAGCGAGGCACCACTGTATAGAAGTAAAGGGGCATGTAAACTGCCTTGATCAAATTGTTCTACTTGATGGCGAGATCCTTTATACATCAGAAACAATCAAAAGTCCCGTCACAGCCTTAGAACCAATGAGTTCTTGAAAAAAATATCTTGGAAAAAATATCAGGTTACTGTGCTTTTCAATACTAATCTCTCTCTCTCTCTCTTTCTCACTTTGGCCAGCATTGTGGGGAACCGGCTAAGCAAAGCGGGGAGAGAAGTCCTCTCTGAGCTCCGTCGCCGGAAACCGGAGCTCAAAATCATCAGCAGTTTCTTGTCCGACATGGGGTTGCTCCAGGCTTATCTGGACTGGGTGGAAGAGATCAAAGCGGACCCGGAACAGATGGAGTCAGTCAAAAACGCTGATGCCCTTCGCTCGGTCCTGGAAGTTTTGGTGGACACTGACGATCCGGGAGCCCGTCAAGACGCGCGTGAAAAAGCTGCGAAACTGAAGGCGCAGATCACTGCCCTTCTCCTGAGGGAGAACAAAACAGAAGAAAATGGGACTCTGGCTCCATCTGACCTGTAAATGGAGTCAATTCCCGGGGAAAACAAAAGAAAACCGTCTTAGAAATTCAGTTTGCCTTCAGATGACCTTATTTACACCTTTTTTTTTTTTTGATAAGGTGACCCATTCAAGCACAGATCCTAGGTCACAGTAATATGCAGATAGTGCCTTGTAAAGCCTGGTTGTTTTGCCCATCTCAGCAAGAGTGGCATTTTCTACAAGAACTTGAAAACGGCTCCTTCGTTTGGACTATGGCTAACCATGGTGGCTGAGGGATTCTAGGGCTTGTAGTAGACCCAGCCAGAAGGAAATGTTCACAAGTTCTGGTTCTGATCCGCAGAAGGTCTCCAAAATCTTAGGTGGAGGTCTTCCATGTTTTTGGACCTTTTAAATGGATTTGCCACGGGATAAAACCTGGAATCTTATGCATGCACAGGAATCATGCATAAATTGAGTACAGTACTTCTGAACTGGGCATGAAAGCTGGACAGAAAAGAAAGGTGACCTGTGGGAGAAAAAATGGATTTGTTTGAAATGTGGTGCAGGAGGAGAGCTTTCAAGATACCCTGGACTGCCAGAAAGACAAACAAGTGGGTCCTAGATCAAATCAAGCGTGAATTTTATGTGTGTGCATGTGTCTGGTCTCTGGGTGTCTGTGAATTTCGTTGTATGGGTATACTGTGTATCTACTTTGAAGGCTGTCATAAAGGCCTGAAGGAAGGGTCAGGAGTTGACCTCTCTTTCAAATTTCCCCAATCCATATAGGTTGCCATGCAACTCCCATTATCCCTCTTTGTGTCTACTAGGCAGGCTTGGCACCTGATGGGAACTGTAGTCCAACATTCCTAAGGGAGGCAGTTTTACTGTCATAAAAGGATGGGAATGGGCAGGAACACAAGTGTGTGTGTGTGAATAATTATATATTTATTTGCAGCAGAAACTTGGGAGGTGACCCTTTTTTAAAAATTCTTGCTTCTCTATGCTGAGCTGAAGGCTACGCGAGATCGACCGGTTGAACTTCGGCCCATTAAGCTGCCTTTAAAAACACCGTTCCTGGATCTTCGGGTGCATTAGAGAAGCAAGGCGCTGGGGCGGCAATTCAGGATTTATTTATTTAAAAAAAACAAAACACCTTTTCCCCAATTAATCCTTTATCAGATCTTCTTGTAGGATGATGATTCTTATTCCTTAAGCATTGCCGCTGCGGGGGGGGGGAGAATGAGGGAGAGCGGACCAAAGAGTCAAGCATAAAAAAATCTCTTTAAACTTTGTGAGATAAGGATGATTGAAACAGCAGCAAGGAGGATGATGAACGACAGGGGCTGTTTTTTTTTTTCTACCAGTGGTACTTATTTTAACGCGGCTTCAGTCCAGCGCTCCACTTCTCGGAATAAAGCCAACCCGAGGTTCTGCCCCCCTCCCTCTACAATCTACATCATGATGATGATCGTAATGATCTTAACGAACATTTCCTCCCCCTCCCTCCTCCGGAGCCACGCCCACCGCCTTCTAAAGGCCAAGCGCGCATGCGCCCGCCTTTCCGCGCGGAGTGGGGAAAGCGGGACGGTTGAGCGGCTCCAGTCCGAGGGTTTGGCCCCGATCCCCGGCGGCGTCGTGGTCGTGGTCGAGCCCCGCCTGCCGCCTGTATGGACGGGAGGCGGGTGGCGCCGTCCCCAAGCAAAGCTCCTTTAAAAAAAAAAAAAGCCCTAAATGTAAGTCTCCCATAAAGGGCGCCCCCTGTTGCCTGCGCTTTCCCCCCATAGAATTGAATTCTATAGGTCTACTTCTGAGTAGAGCAGGCGCAAACCTGCAGTGTAAAGGCTCAACGGCCGGCCTGCTAAGTAAAGACGAGTTAGAAATCTGACTTTCCCCCCCTCTCTCCTTTTTGTGCAGACTTGAGCATTTCCCAGCAAAACTGGCATGGAACCGTCTGGGAATCTGGACCAGCCTTCCCTGATCCAAGTTTATCCATTATAGTGTTTTGGGCTATGATTGGTTATTTCATCAGCCTGCTGGGGGAGGATGGGATTTGTAGTCTGACTCAGGCAGGGAGGGCGGTGGTGGAGAGGCTGACCTAAACAGGAGCAAAGGACATTCTTGATACCCCAAAGTGTATAGAGAGACACCTAGTAGATGCACATCTTGTGTTGAGCTATGATTTGTTATTTCATCAGCAAGCTAGGGGAGGATGGGATTTGTAGTCTGACTCAGGCAGGGAGGGCGTAGGGGAGAGGCTGACCTAAACAGGAACAAAGGACATTCTTGATGCACCAAAGTGGATAGAGAGACACCTAGTAGTAGATGCACATTGGCAGGAACTTGGGGGTGTGTGTGTGTTAAATCCCATTGAATATGATCTTAAACAAGTGTAGGGGAGAGGCTGACCTAAAACAGGAGCAAAGGACATTCTTGATATCCCAAAGTGCATAGAGATACACCTAATAGATGCACATTGGCAGGAACTGGGGGTGTGTGTGTAAATCCCATTGAATATGATCTTAAACAAGCTGTACCATAAAGGATGAACAGTAAGTGATGCTCAGGTTATTTGGCAAGGCTGTGCCTTGATCAGTTGCACCTTCTGAGTCTGAGTTCATTTTAATTAAGATATAAGGAGAGGGGTGCAATTTGTGCTCTGCGCAGGTTTAGGAGTGGCTTTTTTTGATGGTTCCAGTCCTTGTAAAAAAAAAATAATATTTTGAAAATTCGTTATATTATGGCCTGCAAAATACCATCTGGTGAGTCATCTTTGCACGTGATCCAAAAGAGAGTCAAAAGTCCAGCTTTGCTTTCTCATATCAGTGGCCTTGACCCAGTTTCAAATTCATTGTGGTAAACCGACCCAGTATTTAGAGTGTCAGATTAATAGTTGGGAGTTGTGGGTTCAAATTCTCCTTTGGCTCTAAAGCTTACTCCATGATCTTGGTCCGATCACCCATTCTTTCGGCCTGACTGACATCACAGGGTTGGTGTGACTGAAAAGTAGGGAAGGGGTAAGTAATTCTCCTCCTACGGAGGAGAAGTAGGATAAAAATATAAACTGAATTTAAAAACATCGGCAAAATTGTAGATTACAAATACCTAAAATTGCAAATTGCTAAAATACAAGAAGCAAGAAGAAGAAGAAAAAAACCAAACACTTTTTATGAACAAAATTCATGATTTCTTTTTCCAAAGAAATCCTAAATGCTGGTAATGAGAGCTGTCATGGGAAATTGTGCAAGAGGCTAGAAATATCTTTCTTTGTTGAAATCTCTCTGTCTCATTCCCCTGCCATCTGAGCTTGTTTCATGCCCTTTCGTTTGGGACCCAGTGCTTTACATCTTGTTGGACTACAACTCCCACATACTCCACCTTGAAAAGTTAATTGTGAGAGATGATGGGAATAGTAGTTCAGGAGCATCTGCAGGATGACAATAGGACCACTCTCTTTTTTTGCTGGTTAATCGCTTTCTAGGCTTCTGAACAGAAATCTTTCCCTATTTTAGCTGGTAATACTATATGGACAGAACTTGAGAGCATCAGTGTTTAAATCAAGTACTCAATCTCTGGCTGCAGTCTCTAAAACAGTAGGTTTGAATGTTCTGCCAGGCCAAAACCTCCTTGTCTATAGAACATGAATATTTCAAACAAAAGCATTTATCTGCCTGAACGTTCTTTTCAGGGAGTTTTGATGCTGGACAGAAAATTACATGCAATTCTACCACCACCCCTTTCCCTCTTGCAGTCTGAAATAATAACAAACTAAGGGAATTCATAACAAAACTTGTATGTTTTAAAGGATATTGTTAACTTCCCTTAGGCCTCGGATTAACTGAGTGGTCCAAAAGTTGAAAAAATAAGAATGGATAGATGCAGATCAATTTATTTTTCATGGGTAGATTTATTCTTTTTGCTTGGAGAAACTGGGCGAAAACAGCCTATAGACTTTGGGGTGTGATCTCATGGCCCAACAGATTGCAATATGGACCGCTTGTGGAACAATCTGGCGTGATCTTATTTCCCAGTGATCACACAATATACAGTGGTGCCTCGCTTAACGACGATAATCCATTCCAGGATAATGGCTGTTAAGCGAAAAGGTCATAAAGTGAAATTAAAAAAACCCATTGAAACGCATTGAAAACCGTTCAGTGCATTCCAATGGGCTAAAAACTCACCGTCCAGTGAAGATCCTCCATGCGGCGGCCATTTTCAGTGCCTGCATAGCGAGGAATCCATCCCTAAGCACAGGGGGGAGCCATTTTAGTTACCCGGTGGCCATTTTGAAACCGCCGATCAGCTGTATAAAAATCATCATTTTGCGAAGAATTGGTTCCCAAAGCTTGGAACCGATCATTGCAAAGCGAAATTCCCCCCATTTAGACCATCGTTTTGTGATCGCAAAAAGATCATAGTAAAGAGGATTTGTCGTAATGCGGGGCAATCGTAAAGCGAGGCACCACTGTACCGTATTTGTTTGCCAACCAATGAAGTTCTTTAAATTTGTATTACTCTGTTCTTGTCTCCTTTCTGCAGTATCTTCCCACGCGTTCCTGTGGTTAAGATCGTAGGGAAGCCCTCATTATACCCATGGCTGAGAAGCATCCAGGCAACAGCTTTTCTCCAGAGAGAAGACCAGTCTTGATGTCATCAAGTTCCTCTTCTACTGAGCTGTCCACCACTGGATCTTCTGACCTGCAACCCTTTTCTCCGGGCCGTGCATTGTCATCGAACAGCCTTTCCTCCTACACGGTGCCCGTGCGTCTAGATGTCCTTTACTTTTTGCTCAACAGTGCTGCCAAGGGGGCCCAGAATGCCCTGCCTTCACTGCCTGTCCACGGGGGACAAGTATCTTTGTCCACATGCCATGCTCCAGCTGCTCTTCAGGCACGGCCAAGCTGCTGCAACTGCTGCCACGCCATCAGCCATGAGGTGCCAGGTTGTGTGAGCACCCAACATCAAACTGGGTCCTGCCATTTTGGACCAGCCCAGGCAAGTTACAGTGGACAAGGAGGATTGAACGCTGGAGTCCCAGGAAGACAGAATGATGGAAATCGTTGGCTCCAGACCAACCAACAAAGCAATGGGAAAAGCTGGTCTGGCTGGAACAGAGATCAGTCCATGACGGGCTGGAAGGAGAATCCACGAAGGGGAGGAGGAGGAGGAGGAGGACAAGGACATGGCAGTGGAAACAGCTGGCCAGGGAGGCAGAATAACAGTGGAAGATCTTGGGGGGACAGAAGACAAGACACGGCAGATTCTGTTCCTTGGAGGTCAGGATCACAGGTTTGGAGGAGAGAAGGGTCGCCCTTTGGCTCAAACACACAAAAAGGCAGCAGTCAAAGGAACCAAGAGGGGATCCGTCGCCAGATGGTGTGGGACATCCCAGAAGCCAAACGACGTTCGGACGGTGCTGAAAAGGGATGGCAGAAAAGCCAAGGGAAGCAAGAGCCAGTGTTGGGTAAGAGAGCAGATGCTGGTCCAGCCAAACAAGTGGCTCAGGACAGTGGAGAAGACTGGGATGTGGATTACGAGAGCAAACCAGCAGCCTCTGCTACTGCTCCAGGGAGTGCTTCCCAGCAAACGGGCACTTCCAAAGAATGCAAAAATTCGAGGGATGAATGTACTTCATCCACAGAGCCACCTAAGTTGGGGCCGTTGAGGTCTCCTCCTCCTCCTCTTCCATCCCCTCCTCCTCCACCACCACCACCACCACCACCTCCACCTCCTGCTCCAGAAATGGCCTTCAAAGACCAAGGATCTGCGGCTGCAGAACCAGAACCTGGTGGGTCTCACACGGAGAAGGCCAAGAATAGTGGGTTTCTTGCCTACTTCAATAACCTCTATTCTGACCGGCAAGGGAAATCCAGTTCCGAAGGCTCCACAGACCTGACCATTGACACAGATGTGGAGTCATCCAAGCCCAGTGAGGAAGAGCAGTCACCCAAGAGTGGGGTCGAAGCTGTCTAAGTAGCTCATGGATAGAACGGTACCATCATACAGTACTTCCTTTTAACTGGGTTGCAGCTGTATCTGCCATCTTGCCTGTGGCGTGACGAAAATGTTGGTTGTGTTTGAAAGAGAAGAAAAGAGTTCTACGAAGCCTCCGTTGGTTCCAGATAGTTGATGTTGAAGTTGGCCTCTTGGGGCTGTTAATTTTAGCGGAAGTCTTTCCCTTGATAAAGATGGGTCCATCATATTTAATTTTTCAATTTTTTTATTTTAATTTTTTTAGTTTAAATTTTTTAATTTTAAAATGTTTTAATTTTTTAATTTATTATTTACATTTTTAGCTTTAATTTAAAATTAAACTTTAATTACTTTTAAATCTTTCCATCTTGCAATAAAAGTTGGCATCGGTTTAGCAGTGTGGGCTGTTTCCTTGAACAAAGCAGATGGGATCGGATCTCCCCAGTGGGACGGACCCTGGCTGTCTTTTCCCTTTTTTAAAATTTAAATTTAATTATTTTTATTTTAAATGGAGGAATGCACAATGAGTGGATTTAAAAGAAGGGTGGTGTGGATGCAGACTGACAAGCGAGTCAATGCCCTTGAATTTAATACTGTATACTAAAATGTGTGTATGAAGGAAAGAAAACGAGGGGTAGTACATGAAGGAATATACCATATTTTCCCATGTATAAGACAATACTTTTGTCTAAAATGTTTAGACTAAAAATTGACGGTCGTCTTATACATGGAAGTAAGCTGAGGAGAAAAAACAAGTGGAGGGGAAAGCAGGGGTCAAAGTTATCCTGCAGGGCTTTGATCCCTGCTTTCCCCTCCACTTGCTAAACCTTAGCAAGAAAGCAGGAAGTGCTGCAGGATGGCTTTGATCCCTGCTTTCTCCCTTTGTGCTAAGCCCTGTGTGGCTTAGCAAAAGGAGGGGGAAAGGGACCGAAATGATAGTGCAGTCGTGGAATTGCTTTGATCCCTTTCTCCCTCCTTTTGCTAAACCACGCGGGGCTTAGCACAAAGGGAGAAAGCAGGGATCAAAGCCATCCTGCAGCACTTTGATCCTTTTTACCCTACATTTGCTAAGCCCCACTTAGATTTCTTAATTTTGGGTTAGAAAAGTGGGCGGTATCTTATACATGGGGGCATCTTATACATGGAAAAATACGGTAAGTTGCCACGGTTTCCTGAAAGTTCCTTACAATAAACCTCCCATCGTTTTCTGAGTCTGTGTTGTGAAGTTTTATCGCCACGATGAGATCTGGAAACTTGATTTTTCAAAGTGAAATTGAGACTGGTGTTTTCTACACATGCCACTGCATTAAATCCACCCATCAGGTGGACGCTTCTCTGTGTTAGCCCTGTTTACATTTGAATGGTCTCAAGAATTAAGAGATAGTTATGGGCTGGAAGAATAAAATGTAGCTCAGTGGTTTAGATATCTGGATGCAGAGTCAAAGGTTGGGAGTTCAATTCCCCCATGCCTCCCTGACGGGGGCTGGACTAGATTCATAGGCTTCCTTCCAATTCTGCAGTTCTAAGACAATGATGACTGCACATTTTTGTATCCTTTGATCGTTTTAAAAACCTAGCAAGGCATACTGAAAACTACACAACATTAGAGGCTGATTCGTATAGAATGACCATTTGGAGACAGTAGCCTCAGGTTAGGAAAAATCAGGAAAAGGTCATGTGGTTGTGGAAGCTAAACAAACGCAGGAGCATGCCGATGCCGTATTTAGAACATAAAACAAGAAACTGAGCTTTCAATGATAAATCATCTTCAAGGCTGTTCGTGTTCTTGTGGGTAGTTCCAAACTTATATGCGACTAATGTCCCAGATTCACTTGGCAGATGATGCTGAGGCCAGGTTCACTTCTTAGATGGAGATAGTGCAGTATGCAGATTGTTTTCAGACTCCGCTTTGGCTAGCAGTTTGGCATTTATGACCGATCTCTTAAAACTGAGGACAGTCACCAGCAACTGACTCAGGTTTGGGATGATTTACAATCTGTTGTTGCTTTTTCAAAAACTTTCAAAGATATGACCTGCCATTTCCCTCTTGTGGTTAAATGTGGCAGTGCACCTTTGCATGTTTGCTGAAAATAAATATTTACAAGTATACAGTGTAAGAGCAGCTGTTTAAAATACTTCTAAATGTTTTATTTCAACATTCCTATACCTGACTTTATAACAACATTCAAGGTGGTTTAAAATGAAGATTGGATAATGCAAAACCCTTTAAAATACAGCCAATATTGTCAGTCAACAATTACTCTATGATGTTGAGTCGTTAAGGCGTGTCTGACTTCGTGACCCCATGGACCAGAAGCCAATATTGTCAGTCAACAGTTACCGTATGTTGTTGTTGAGTCGTTAAGTCATGTCTGACTCTTCGTGACCCCATGGACCAGAGCACGCCAGGCCCTCCTGTCTTCCACTGCCTCCCGGAGTTGGGTCAAATTCATGTTGGTCATTTTGATGACACTGTCCAGCCATCTCATCCTCTGTCGTCCCCTTCTCCTCTTGCCCTCACACTTTCCCAACATCAGGGTCTTTTCCAGGAAAGACTAAAAGAATTAAAAGACAATAGGGTAATTTAAAAAAGCAGTGGAGAAATCTTCATCAAAACAAAAATAATTGAGGAAAAATCCAGTTCAGTTCATTCCACTGGACAACATTGTAATAGCAATATTCTAATACCTTTTAAGAATAAGAACAGCTATCGGTGCTACAAAAACCAACAATATTAGGAACAGCATACATACTGTGCTGATATTTAACAGATACAGTGGTGCCTCGCTTAACTGGCACTCCGTTTGACGACAAAATCGCAAGACATCGATGTTTTTGTGATCGCAAAAGCGATCGCAAAACGATGTTCCCTATGGGGGAATTTCGCTTTGCGATGGTCGGTTCCCTGCTTCAGGAACCGATCATCGCAAAGCGATGATTTTCGGCCAGCTGAACGGTGATTTCAAAATGGCCGACGGGTAAACAAAATGGCCACCCGTTCTTTTTTGGCATGGATTCCTCACTGCTCAGGCAGCGAAAATGGCCGTGCTATGGAGGATCTTCGCTGGACGGGGAGTTTCTAGCCCCTAGGAACGCACTAATCTGGTTTTAATGCATTTCTATGGGCTTTTAAAAATCCCATTACAGTGGTGCCTCGCATAGCGAGGTTAATCAAAATACTAGTAAATGGTGATCATGGTATCTCCCCTGCCAGGTAAGTATTTACCAATAGAACTGAGACTGTCTGTGTGGTCAGGGAGTGGTTGAATCCCTGCAGCACATGCTATTTTATTGTACTCTGTACAAGGATATTCACCTGTCCCATCTGTGCGCTTTTCTCTCCTCCCATTCCGGATGGGATGATATGAGGAAAATGCAGCATCTTCTAAGTGGCAATATTAAGGAACTTACCCTGTCAACTGCCAGATACGTATATGCCATCATGCAGAGACGTCGTAGCACGGTCTCGCAGAATGAAGAGCCCTAAATATGCTCTTGGCTGGCCCTTCCCACCCGTTACCCAGTGAACATTTTAGTTCTATGTTATTGTATTTGTCTGTTTTACTGTACTCAGTATGCCAATAAAGGTTTCTGACTGACTGACTGACTACTAGTAAATGTTTTTGTAGTTTGATTGTGCCTGGAGTTTTTCAACAACAAGAAGAAGTTGTCAAGTCCGTTCTGGCTTACGGTGATCCTTTTCGGGGGGTTTTATGTAAAGAATACTCAGATGTTGACATGGGGACGAATAAAAAAAATGAATTGCGATATTCATTAAAAATTGCTGGTTCTTTTAATATTCATCCCTTTGTATTAGTCAGTTCCAGAGATCCGACGAATAAGAAGGGATGAATATTGCTCCATTTTTATTCGTTCCCCCATATGAAAAGAGGGAAGGCTAGCTTATGGCCTTCCCACTGTGCCTATGGGCCCAATGAATGGCTGATCAGTGGGCCCATAGGCAGCCCCATAGCTTGTCCCCCACCCCTTCCACTCACTTTCTTACCCACCACGCAACGCTGCCACCATCCATCGCTGCCCGCTGTGACGGGCTCTGTCACCGTGGGACACTGGCTGCCCTTTGCAAAAATGGTGGTTGCAGATTGCGTTCGGACAGGGAAGCAGCATCACCATCTTTGCAAAGGGCAGCCCGGATTCCCTTAGCCTGCCTTAAAGGAATCTGGGCTGCCCTTTGCAAAGATGGCAACTGCTGCTTCCCTTAGTGCAGAGAAGCCACAGCCACCATTCTTGCAAAGGGCAGCCCAGATTCCCTTAAGGCAGGATGCGTGTTGCGCTTGTGATGGGCGTGTCATGCTCGCGCTGGGGGGTGTCACACTCATGAGCACCCCCGCGTATGGAGCTTGTTCCCCACCCCAGCCAGTCTGCGGACCCAAAAAGGTTGGGGACCGCTGCCATAAGGGAGACCACGGTGTCAGAGGCCACTGCAGCATGCCGTAACGGATGGTGGCAGTGGAGTCCACAGTGGCTGATGGCAGCGGTGGCGCAGATGGCAGTGGCCAAGGACAGTGGGAAGGGGGCAGGCTGTGGGGATGCAGGGGGGTTCAGTTTGTTTTCAAACAGACTTGGATTGTCTAAAAACCAACGAACCGATGAACTCATTCGCTTTTCGTCGTTTCGCGGGGAGGAAATTCATGATTCGTGGTTCATCCATTCTGATGGACTACGAACGAGGACGAATCCCCATTTTGGCAGTTCGTCCTCGTCTCCACTCAGAAGTGCTTTCACATTTCCTTCTGGGGGATGATGCCCTGGGACTGTTCAGCTTGCTCAAGGTCACCCAGGCTGGCTCTTTCTCGGAAAGCACCGTGCGGAATTGAACTCCGAACCTCTAAGCCACTGAAAAGGAGGTCATAATAATAATTACATGCCTTCAAGTCAATTCTGAGCTACAATGAGATTTTCTAGATAAACATATGGTTTACCAGCCCCTTCTTCTGGCGGTATTCTTAGCCTGTGCAGCTTGCCCAAGGCTACACAGTCTGGATCTACTCACTGGAGGCACGGTTTAATAAAGAATTGGGTTTAGGCGTTTCTGTTTTAAATGTAACTTCTTTAATAGAGGCTAGCCGTTTGCTCGTAAATGTTCCTCCTTTCTTATGGGGCTAGTGGCCGACGTGTCTTTGCCCTTGAGATGAACCTTAATCATTTTTCTTCTCTCTTCTTGTGAGCATGCACAACCCTCTACAAGGGAGGACCTTTGGAGTTTGTTTGCTTTTTATGCCTGAGGAAGCCTTTAAAGAGGTCCAGACCTAGCTGAAGGGCAGGAGAGTCAGCAGGTTTGAGTTGCAGCCAGCGAACGCTCCAGAGGCTGCCTGCTGTCTGTGCACATTCGCTTTCTGGAAGTGGAAGCTCTTTTGTCTGTTGCTCTCTCTCTCTCCCCCTCCCTTCCATCACTGGTCATTTTCGGTAAGGTACGGGGGAGATTTTGGGCAACGTCAGCAGCATGGCAGGGTCAGAGGTGCTCAGGAAAAAGCCCTCGAGAAGAGAGGAGAGAGGCAAGGTTGGAAGGCAGCTTCGCAGGACGTGGAGGTAAGACCAACAGTTCACAGTCATTGTGGCTGGAAAGAAGGAGGGTGGGCTTATTGGACAGAGAAGGCTGTCAATATGGAAGAGCAGGAATGGGCAAATGGGAAGCCATCCCTATGCCAGGCAGCAAAATATCACTCCTAGACAGCTTGGTCAGATGAGGAACAGGTCTTTTGTGCAGCTAATAGTGTTTAATTGCTGGTTGAAGACCAAAACACTCTCAGTACTTTGCATTACGGACAGTGTCTGCGAAGCAACCAACATGAACCTGACACAACTCCGGGAGGCAGTAGAAGACAGGAGGGCCTGGCGTGCTCTGGTCCATGGGGTCACGAAGAGTCGGACACGACTAAACGACTAAACACACACACACTTTGCATTACGAAAGGGAAAGATAGGTTGCAAACATAGAACACTACGGGCAAAAATCCATTTGGACTATGCTGGCTGAGGATGATGGGAGTTGCAGCTCTGCCAGATCTAGAGGGCCATCTGGTTCCCCCTCCACTGAGCCAGAACGCAGATTAGTCTGGAGGCAGGAAATGTGTGACCATCCGCGTGATTGCAGCTCCCACAATTAGAATGCCAGCTCCCATCATCCTTAGCCAGGAGAGTCAATGTGAAGGAAAGATGGGAGTTCTAGTTGAATGGCCTCTGGAAGGCCATTATTGATGGCCTGGATATTGCAGGAATGATGCATGCTGACTTTGCTTGGATGGAAATGTGTGTTCTTCCTGAAAAATCGGTCTACTCAAAGACTGCCTGTTACCAAGACTTCACTGAATGCTTGGGATTAAGAGAATCGGTTATCTATGGTGGATGATATATCAGGGTGCCTCTAGGGGGCCCTATTGCCTTCTCTCCATCCTTGAGATGTCTGCTTTGACGACAATGAGGAGGAAATACACTGTAGACACTTTCTCAGGTGGAACAGTTGAAGGGTGATCACCTGTTATCCTCCAACATGGGTCTGTTGGACAATGATGTCCACCTGGATGGGGATGGTGGGAGTTGTGGTCCTGCACAACTCAAGTGTGTTGGGGTGTGGGAGACCAGTCTGCTAGACCAGGTTGTGATGGTCATGCTTTCTCAACAAAAGTTGAGATGGAAGCTTATAGTCTTTCTGTTTGTATCCGTCTGGCAAATTCTGAGAGACAATTTAAAGTTGGCCAAATTGTCAACTGTTGAGTTTATCATAATAATACATTTCCCATAACAAAGGACAGTGACTTTTTATTTTACTGGTGGCTCTAAAGCAGGGATCAGGGAACTTTTTAACCTTTTACCCCCCAAAAAATTTATATATGTCGACATTACCCCCTTGATTTGAAAGGAAGGAAATCATACATTATTTGAATTCAAAATCTTATTGAATCTATTCAGAATTATTTTGAAAGCTTAAACTTACTTGAAAACTTCAGATTTTGGAGAAATGATGTTGCTTCATCTTGGATATGAGAGCATCAATATTGGGGCTCTGCTCATCCTCATTACCCCCAGGATTTTCATTTTTACCCCATTTGGGGTAATTTACCCCTGTTCCCTGACCACTGCTCTAAAGCGTCCTTTTACCCCAAAGCGTAGGGGCAAATTTGAATGTACTGGTGTTCATTAGGCATCTCCTATAGGCATCCTCCCCATCAAAGAAGAGTCCCAAAAGTACAGGTAGAGCTGGCTCAATCAGTAACAACAAACGAAGAGCAGGTCTTTTCTCAAGCTAATAGCTCTTAACTACTGTTTCAAGATCAAAACACCTCTGAGTACTATGAGAAAAGGGTTTGGTTCCAACAATTTAATGTCCCTGACAAAATCCCTGTCCCCCCCCCCCATAGTGAAGATCGTAGCTAAACCTAGTTGGAACAGAGAAACCTGGAGTTTGGAGTGGAGGATGGGATAGTTCTGCCTAATCACAGAGTCCCATGTCTTTGACCCCACAAGCCTGCATACCCTTACATCTTGCCTCTCCTTGTCCCCCTCCCAACCATGAGCTTTACAGAAGTCATGAAGGACAGCCCGTCACGAACAACCTTGAACTCCACCCTCTTCTAACTGCTAAACCCTACTCTTATTCCCTTCCTTGCTCAAAATTAGGAAAGGATGTACAGCTTCATGAGCGGGGGCTTGTTCTGTGCCTCTGTGGCGAATGTCCTTCTGGCAGTGTCCACGTTGACAGATTACTGGATGCAGTACCGGCTAGCTGGCACCTTCGCTCACCAGGGGCTCTGGCGATTTTGCTTCCCCGGGAAATGCTACATGCCGATGGAAAAGATGGGTAAGCCGGGTTGATGCAGGAAGAGAGGGCAGGCGGCGTAGTAGCTGGGAGCAAGGCTCAGATGAGAGGAACCGGGGCAGCTTGTCCCAACATGATGTTGTGTTAATGGGCCATCAAGGTGGAAACCAACTTTGGGTGGCCCTAATAGAGCTTTCAAGGTAGGTTAGATATTGAAGGAACAGGTTTAACCCATTCCACAGTCCCAGTGAGTTTCTGTGGCTGAGTGGGGATTCGAACCCAGGCCTCCTGAGTCCTAGTCCATTGTTTTATCCCAGTAGTTCCTAACTTTGGGTCCTCAGATGTTCTTGGACAACAACACTCAGAAGCCTTTATCATTGCCATTTCTGGGAGTGGTAGTCCAAGAACATCTGGAGACTCAAAGTGGGGGAACCTCTGCTTCCTCTACATCGCACTGGGTATCAATTATAATTTTGTGCCATCAAGCCAGAACTGGCTTATAACAATCCTCATGGGGCTCTCAAGGTAAGTGAGACATTTAACGATGCTCTCCGGAAACTGTGGACGGCGATTACCACCAGGTTGGTGGAAAGCTGAGCTGTCTTCTCCTGATCCCAACATGATGAGTCTATCTACACCAGTGGTCCCCAACCTTGGGCCTTCAGATGTTCTTGGACTACAACTCCCAGAAGCCTTCACCACCACCACCTCTGCTGGCCAGGATTTCTGGGAGTTGAAGTCTAAAAACATCTGGAGGCCCAAGGTTGGGTACCACTGATTCTACACCACACAGTTACAGTCGCTTGATGCTGCTCTAAGTGTTATGGCTCCATCCTGAAAGCGCGGTGGGGTTCCTTGGAACTCCATGCTGCAGTTCAGGAGAATGAGTCTGAACTGCTCTTTCATGTTTTTAGACTGCAACATTTTTAGATGGCTCTATAGAAGGATTTCTTGAAGAACTACTACTGCCCAGAAGTCTCCAAGAATTCCCTGGGCCGAATTCTGGGAATGGCAGCCCCCCCCCACAACCCTAACTGAAGATGCTCCCCCTAGAGAAGAGCTTCTGTGTTATAAGCAGACTTCATTTCCTGCCACTCATCCCACCCACCCTTATCCTGTTGCTGGACTTCTTGGGAGTAGTAGTTCTTCAGGAGGCACCCTCTATAGAGCCTGGCAGGCTGTGAGACTACATCTCCCAGTCTCTTCCATATGATCTTGGTCCCACTTCAGTGGGACCAGCCTACCTCCACAGCATCCTTTTAATGCACCCCAGCAAACCCCCCTGCAAAATACAACCGGCGCTGTATTTGTGCTTTGATAAATGAATTGTTGTTGGTTCATATTAATTCCTTTAGGACAGTGGTTTCCAACTTTGGGTCTCCAGATGTTCTTGGACTACAACTCCCAGAAATCCTGGCCAGCACAGCTAGTGGTGAAGGCTTCTGGGAGTTGTAGTCCAAGAACATCTGGGGACTACTTTAGGGAAAAAGGAAAAGCCCGGTGTCCAGGGAACAAATACTGTGCTTGTGAAGCAAAGCCTGTAACACCTGAATACTCCAGCTGATACCCACAGGGCAGCCATAAGATGGAGAAAGGGGGCATCTCTACTCTACCCATCAACTTGCAAATCGGAGGTACCCGGAACAACATCATTTATCTCAGTGGTCCCAAAACTTGGGCCTCCAGATGCTCTTAGACTTCAACTCCCAGAAATCCTGGCCAGCAGAGGTGGTGGTGAAGGCTTCTGGGAGTTGTAGTCCAAGAACATCTGGAGGCCCAAGGTTGGGGACCACTAATTTATCTGATAACAAAGGCAGAACCAGGATGGCAATGTAACAGATCTCGTCACCCCCTTTCCAGCACAACTCCAACCTTTCAGTTACTTTGGCAATTAAAAGGAAATGGCTGGCTACACCGTGACGTAGAGGAGGAAGATCACACAGCGAGAATACTGGCTTGTGTTGTGCCTCACGCTGTGCATTAATGGGGTGCCATATAAATAACAGAAATAAATATATTAATAACTGGGTGTGGATGTAACAAGAGAGGTGGCTGGAGAGTATATATATATTAGCACAGGTATTTATTTATTTATTTTTTTATTTAAAAATGCCCCAAAGTAACTTTTTAGATAATGATGAAACCACTTCTTGTAAGACAGGAGAAAATCAGGAGTAACTAATTGTATGTATTGGTACCAAGGAAAAATGGTAATTGATTACTTCCTGTAAGTAAAGTTTTAAGCCATGGATTCAACTTTGCAAACTCTTTTTTTTTGGGGGGGGTAGCGATTAATAATACCTGGCTCTTGCATCCTTCTGCTGTTTCTCTCTAAGCTGGCGTCTCAGGCTTGTTCCCTGCAGCCTACCGGAATGCCATCCGAGCCTTCATGATCCTCTCCGCCCTCTCTTGCTTTGCTGGCATCATCACCGGCATCCTCTCCTTCGCCCAGTTCGCCACCTTCAAGCGCTTCAACCGGTCTTTTGCTACCAGCACCCTCTTCTTCATCTCCAGTAAGTGGCTTTTGTTTGGTTGTTGTGGGTTTTTCGGGGGGAAAGAGAGAGAGAGAGAGAGATGGACGCGAACTGGCGAAACCAGCTCCCCTGCCTTGCCTTCTCTGGCGCTGCTTCTGAGTGGGTGCCCATGGGATGGGACTGGAAGGCTGAACCACTGGAATCTGTTCAGCTGGTAAACAAACTGGCATGAACCGCCAAACCAGTACAGGGGTGCCTCGCTTAACAGCGATAATCCATTCCAGGAGAATCGCTGTTAAGCGAAAACGTCGTAAAGCGAAAATAAAAAGCCCATTGAAACACATTGAAAACCGTTCAATGCATTCCAATGGGCTAAAAACTCACCGTCCAGCGAAGATCCTCCATAGGGGCGGCCATTTTCGGTGCCTGTAGAGCAAGGAATCCGTCCCTAAGCACAGCGGGGAGCCATTTTAAGCACCCGGCGGCCATTTCGAAAACCCAACGATCAGCTGTTTAAAAATAATCGTTTTGCGAAGAATCGGTTCCCAAAGCTTGGAACCGATCATCGCAAAGCAAAATTCCCCCATTTAGACCATCGTCTGTAAAGATCGTCATAATGCGAAGAATCGGTTCCCGAAGCAGGGAAGCGATCATCGCAAAGCGAAATTCCTCCATTTAGACCATCGTTTTGCGATCGCAAAAGTTATCGCAAAAATGTCATCATGAAGCAGATTCATTGTAATGAGGGGTAATCGTAAAGCGGGGCACGACTGTAGTTTGTGCCCATATCTACTCAGAAGCGGTTTCCCATTCCCTTCTTCTGGGACCATTCGGGGACTGTGCAGCTTGCCTATAGCCACCCGGACTCTTCTCCCTGGAGACACAGTGGGAAATTGAATTCCCAACCTCTGACTCCACAGCCAGGTCCCTAAACCACTGAGCTATCCAGCCAGCTCACACTTCTATTAAAGTGTCAAAATACGGAACACAGGCAAGCTTTGGAGTCCTTCAATAAAGATAACACCTACCTTTGTTTTGGGATTTTGTGTAAGGACCACCTGGCTTTCTCTCCCCAGTTTCCTTCTTCATTAGCTATTTCCTTTTCGGGCGGTTCTGAAAGTTAAGATTTGAGATCAAACACTTCAGAATCATAGAACAGATTTGCCACTTATTCAAGCTAGCTGGAGGATTCTGGCAATTTTTCGAAGATCCAATCCCTCTCAGGGGTCAATGAACTAAGGAAGGAACTCAAAGCAGCCTTCTCCAATCTGGTCACCATTTAGAGATGATGCACTACAATCCCATCATCTCCAGCTAACATAGCCTTGCCAAATACACTAAAACAGAAACCTATGTGAAGGAAAGGGTTGATCTAGAGGCAACGACAGGGACCTTCAGATGCTTCTCAAATGGGAGAAATGCAGACTAAAGTGGTCAGATTGAATGTATAAACTGTATCTAGTGCTGTGTTCCTCAAAATGAATGAATGAATGAATGAATGAATGAATGAAATGAATGAATGAATGAATGAATGAATGAATGAATGAATGAATGAATGTGGACATCAAGCCTTGTTCCAGATTCTGAGGGGACTTGGCAGACCTTGGAAAAATTACACCTTCAGACTATATTTCCTCCCATTCTGGGACTTGCTCTGCAGTAAGTTACTTTTTCCAAATTCTGGACTCTGAAGATGCTGTCGTTTGTATCCTCTAGTGGTTGTTGTTGGTGGTGGTGGTTAGAGGTGAAGGGGGAAAAGTTTCAGATTAATAAACATTTGCTTTTGCTCTTTTCTTTCTGTTTTGTCCCTTATGCCCAGCACTATTCATCCTTCTAGCGATGGGAATTTATACCGGTGTCACCGTCTACTTCCTGGACAAACGTTTTGGCGAGTGGCGCTTCTCCTGGTCTTACATCTTGGGCTGGGTTGCCCTCCTGATGACTTTCTTTGCAGGTAGTAACAGACATAACCGTATCTTGAAATATAATAACATAATAAGCAAGTGCCATCAAATCAGTTCTACCAGGTTTTCCTGGTAGAGAATACACAGAAGTGGTTTACCATTCCTTTCTTCTGGGGGCATCTTGAGATTGTGCAGCTTGCCCAAGGCCACCCAGGCTGGCTCTCCTCCCAGTGGGCCCCCACTGGGGAATCAAACTCTCAACTAGATACCTAAACCACTGAGCTATCTAGCTGGCCCCATCCTAGAAATTCTGAATCAAAGCTAGTGATGCTGGCTGGGGAATTTGGGCAGTTGTGATCTAAACCACTGGTTCTTAACCTTGGGTTACTCAGGTGTTTTTGAACTGCAACTCCCAGAAACCCCAGCCAGTACAGCTGGTGGTGAAGGCTTCTGGGAGTTGTAGTCCAAAAACACCCGAGTGACCCAAGGTTAAGAACCACTGATCTAAACTGCTAATTTCTTTTTCAAGCTATGTTCTTGACTGCAGCAGGTGAGATTACTCCCAAAATTAAATTAATCCTTGACTGTTACCTGTTCAGGTAAAGGCTGATCTAAAAGAACAAAGTGCGGGCAGCCACAAGAAGTGTAAAAATGTGCTAGTGATATTTAAAAGATGGATTCTCTGCAAAACAGCTGTCCGGATAGTTCTGGGGGTTAGTTATCTGGCTGTGGATAGAGGTTGGGAGTTTGATTCCCCCACGGTGCCTCTCCAGGGAGAAGAGCCAGCCTGTGTGTCCTTGGGCCAACTGTGCAATCTCAGGAGAAGAGAAAGTTAAACCACTTCTGGTTACTCTTTACATGGAAAACCTTGAAAAGATTTGTCATAAGTTGGAATTTACTTGACACGATTATTATTATTTTCTTCAAAAATTACAGACTTCCCCAGGGTGGCAATGAGATTTCACTTTAAGTCATAAAACTCTTTACTTATTTAGTTGTTCGTTGCATTAAAAAAAAACCCTACTTTCCTTTGGTGGTCTCCACACAGTTTTCATGGTTTTCTTCTCCTGTTTTTGCCTCCACAACAAACCATATGAAGTAGGCCAGTTGAGGGAATGACTGGTCGAGAATTGCCCATTGGGTTTCATGGCGGAGTAGAGATTGGAACCTCAATCTCTTAAATCTTAAATGCAACCTGTAACCATTACACCACACTGGCTTTGCAGTGTTCTGAATGTTGAGCGCTTGGCTTTTATTTAGCCAGAATCCTCTGTGAAATTTACTCCTAAGAGTTCCTGAACTCATATAAATCTTAGCTCCAGATTGCAGCTAATTAGCTTAGTGTCAGTCGTGGGCTTGGCTGTGTATCAGTCCCATGGCCAAACATGAAACCAGCACTGGGTTAATTTAGCTGCAATCACTGGAATGATTAATGCTATTTCACTCACTCCACAGTAAAATCCCAGTAGGGTTCTGCCATAATCTCATTTCATTTTACTGTGTCTTTCTGAATGGCATTGTGCACAAGATGTACTTTTAAAATTAAGTAAAGGGACGTGGTGGTGCTGCGGGTTAAACCGCAGAAGCCTCTGTGCTGCAAGGTCAGAAGACCTGTAGTTGTAAGATCGAATCCACATGGTGGAGTGAGCTCCCGTCGCTTGTCCCAGCTCCCGCCAACCTAGCAGTTCGAAAGCATGTAAAAATGCAAGTAGATAAATAAGTACCACCACGGTGGGAAGGTAATGGTGTTCCGTGTCTAGTCGCGCTGGTCACGTGACCACGGAAGATTGTCTTTGGACAAAACGCTAGCTCTATGGGTTGGAAACGGAGATGAGCACCGCCCCCTAGAGTCGGACAGGATTGGGCAAATTGTCAAGGGGAACTTTTACCTTTACCTAAAGCTCAGCTTCAGTGTGTTGGACTGGTACATTAGCTTTCCATTGATTTTATTCTAAAGTGTTTTTTTTAAATATGATATTTCCCTGTTTTTTCTCTCCTGCAGGTATCTTTTACATGTGTGCCTACAGGATTCATGAATGCCAGCAAATGGCAGGAAACTGCTAAGATTGCAGCATCTTCTAATGTTTACAAGACCTATGAAGGGAGCATAGTCCTGGGTGAAAATATTTCCTTTTTAAAAAAACACTAATCTACTAGAGAAACAACACATCTCTTGACCGGTTCCCAGTGTAGGTGGAAGCAAAGATCATAACCTGAAAATCTATGGTTGAAATGTTATTCCATTCATTAGACTCACTGGGTGATTTTATCTTTGTGACTCAGTCCCCATCATCTCTAAAAGGGAATTAATGAGACCCATCTACCTTGCAGGGTTGTTGTTAGGAGTAAGTAAAATGAGATGTGTGCGAAATCCTGGGAGAAGCAACTGTCCAGAATGGAAGTGAAAATGCTATGAAGGTTTGATTCATTAAGAAGATAGTAAAAAAGGAGTACGACAAGGCTGTATCTTGTCCCCCTGTTTATTTAACTTATATGCAGAATACATCATGCAAAAGGCTGGACTGGAGGAATCCCAAAACGGAATTAAGATTGCCGGAAGAAATATCAACAACCTCTGATATGCAGATGATACCACTCTAATGGCAGAAAGTGAGGAGGAATTAAAGAACCTCGCAATGGGGGGGAAAGAGGAGAGTGCAAAAAAAAGGCCCGAAGCTGAACAAAAAAACCCCTAAGATCATGGCCAC